TCAAACACGTTAAAGTAAGGCCAAAGATTGAATCCTGATAATCTTTTATTTCTATTTATCAATTCACTTTGCAGATAATGACCTCATTTCTCAACATTCTCAAAATCATGTACGAACACGAAAATCACATCCACTCACTCTACTTTGGCTTTACTCTTTCCGTCACTACACGACAGGCTTCACTGTTAGTCCAAGGATCACTGTCAACCAACACTAACATAACCTGCACAGTACCTTTGAAGTTTAGACCAATCCCCGCCACTGCAGCAAGTGCTATGTAGTGGGATACATAACATTTAATAGTCTCGTCTCCTTCAAAAATCCTTTGTAACTACTGTATATGCATATATGTCCACCTTTTCCATCAATAGATATAAGTAAGGCTAGCTGAGACTCATCACAAACTTTTCTTTGATCAATCGACAAAAAAGAAATCCTTTCTTATAGTGAGATTAAAATTCAAATATTTTCTTTCATTTGGGTATGGTTATTTTTCATGTCCTCAATTCACATATTGCATGGATGCCTGTACCTCATCCATATATGGTCTTACAGTATAAAAATTAATGGATTAATCTCGCATAGGCTATGCAAAAACATGCTCTATTTAATCACCTTTTCCTTAATTTTTTCCACAGTTGCCAATACCTTCAATAAATTGAAAATATTTTTCCGTATAACATACTTCAAAGTCTTTGTTTCTGAAGAGTTATAAATGTCTTAAATAATCAGTATAGAGATATTAGTAAAGTTAACCATCAGAAGGTCTGTTTCTCCATCTATATACAAATAATATGAATATGAAGCTACAATTTCCTTATCAAATAACAGCTTTTGAATCCATAAAAAAAGCACACAACCAAATGACTTTTGTAAAGAGAGTCTAAAAAGCAAGTCAAGATGAAAAATGAATAAACAATGACTTAAACTCACTGGATTTTTCCAATCTCTTAAAACTTAATTCACATGAAATCTACAGCACTTTAAAAGATATATGAATAAATCTTTTAAAATATATAAAACACAATAATTTTAGCATATTACATACCTCCTCCCACACCTGCCACCATTGCCAGTCCAGCCGATGGAACGTTTGCCTTCTTACTGGTCTCTTCAATTTCCAGGAGTTTTTGCTTTACTTTCTGTCTCTCTTCTTCTTTCTGCTTCTCCTCTGCCTCCTTCTGGAGCTGTTCTGCTTCCAGAGCTCTTCAGAAGTAGAATGAAAGAAATGATTTAAAAGATGCCCTTTGCAAAGGCCTGTCATATTTTATGAGAAATCATTTGGGTTCCTTTCAATAAAACCAACTGCTGCTGAAGAGGCTACAACACAACACAAGTTCACTGTCATATTCTACCAAATGACTTATGTTCATGCACTACGATCTGTTGGGAGGCACAAACATAATACTCACTTCAAGATAAAGTCTTCCTTTACCCACATCACATTCAAGCTCATTTTCTATAAACCATCTAAGTGCGAGCAATAAAAATGTGTATTTATATAGTCAATATGGTGTATTAACTTCATCAAAAGTAACAATAAACCAATTTGTTCTAAATAACATCCATATAACTACATCAGAAAGAAATTTCATGCAGCTACATCAGACATTCAATATATCTATCTGACAGACCTAAGAGTATAAAAGGAATATATTCAGACTGACATGCCTGAAATGTCACCAACTAAATGACACATCCCTCATAATAAAGTGCGGAGAAAACTGGTCTACAAAACCAACTACAGATATCAGTGACTAAGAGTTCTTCATTCATCTACTGTGCTGTACTATCCTACATTTGCTGAACACCACCTACCCACATAATGTATTCCTCCTCCTCATACTTGGCAGTCTACTGATGGGGAATAAAAACAACTGTAAGTATGAAGTTTTGTAAGGAATTACAATCAAATCTGCACTTCATGTGTAAATATAAACAATATCTTTTTTAATATCCATACATCAGTCACAGACTCCAAATGAGGAAATCAACTTCCATTTCATTTTTTTTTTTCAAAATAAAAAAAGCTCTATTACTATCTTCTCCCTGTCTCTCACTATCTGTTGCATTCACACTATAAACTTTCAAACTGGCTGAAAAGAAATAGATTTTTTTTACCAGTAACCACTTTTTTCCTTAAAAGCAGTTCATGCAACTCATCACGTTCAATTCATTAACACTTTTACAAATCAAAAAACCAAATGTGAACATGATTGTTGACCATAAATCTAAAGATGCAAAAGCTTAATTGTCCACTGCTTATCCCTCCACATTTCCCTGTCCAGTTGATGTGCAAATGTCCCAAATGCATAACATAATACCTTTTATATAGAATGATAATGAAAAATTCCATATTGTATGGCACAGAGATTAATACATAGTTCCTAATACACAATACAACTCACCTTTGAGCTGCAAATTTCCACTTGTTGATGACTCTCAGCCTTCGATCCTTTCCTAAATGCTCTTCTAATAGAGAGATCAATTCTGATCTTTGTATGGAACCCAAGAGAATCATCGAATCTATAAGAGAATGAGTCAGATAAGAAAAGAAAAGAATCATAAATTCTTAAAACTGTTCCTCTTTGCAAGATCATATTTTTCAAAGCTAAAATTTCAACCATTACAAAAAATTAACCAGTCAATAAATACCTGGAGAATCAACGAGGGGTAATGATCTGATTTTCTTGTGCTCTTTGAGTGTATTTTTTAGCTGCTTGTATGTAATTCCATACCAAATGTACTTCACATCTCGCACCATGAAATCTTCCACATATATGTTATACGCCCCAGAGGTGGCAGTGAGAATATCAGGGAGATATGGGAGCTTCTTAATTTGAATGATAGAGTCGTACACGGATGGCTGCAAGAGCTGTGCTATTCCATTTGCAATCAGGACAGCAATCTGTAGTACAGAAAAAATGGTACTGTAGATCTGAGTTAAATATAATTAATAAGAATGTAGATGTCATCAACAAAAAATTGGAAAAGAACAAATGGCAATGTGATGCCACAGAAGGAAATACTAAAATTTGATTTAAAAAAACATAGACAACATGAATGAAACAAATATGAAATGGAGATCATATAACAAAAAGGTTACAGATATCGTCAACACTCACCATCACAGGAAGAATATGTGTAATCTGGCCAGTGAGTTCAAAGACAATGACAGAAGTGGAGATGGTGTGGGTGACAGCCCCTGCCAATGCTGCCGCACCCACGATGGAGTAGCCGCCTATGGGAGAATGAGGATGTGACTACTATATTCAATATACTAAAAAGTAAGTTGGATATTATGCCTTATGCCCCTCTTATTATTTGGAAGGTCATTTATTATCCACCAGTGTTCCTTACCAGGTATAATAATGTGATTGTGTCCTCCATATCGCAATCCATTGGGGAAACTGACAGCCATAGCTTCTCCTACAATCCTTCCAAGAGCTGCCCCAATCTTGAATACCGGGATGAAGATACCAGAAGGAACAGGTAGTGTACTGGCCACCACACTGCCACAGAACTGTTTGGAGGAAGGTATAAATACTGTCTTAGTACATTGATTAGTTTCTGCAGAAAGAAGGCAATAATTAAAGTAACATTTAATAGACAAACGGCAGAGATAGAGTGGATTATTTCATTTGCATACTCGCATGAAAATAAGCCAAATTATAAAATCCAAAAGTTGGGATTCTTGTAAACATACCATTACCTACTCAAACAAGAATAAGTAATTTTTCACTGATGTCAGCAAGACCGAACACTCTACCAAAACCCTCCTGGATAAATGTTCTTACCGTAAACACCATGTATATAAGCAGGTTGATGAAGATGCCAGTCCAAGGAGTACGCCAGTTCTCTACGATCTCAAATTCATGGACAGTGTGATCTGCCTTTGTCCATGTAACGTTGCTGAAGAGCTCCACCACCTGTGACAAAACAGCGCATAAAAAGTTTAATCTTAATGTTGTTACTGGAGAGGAAATCAATATTCATTGGCAATGTGGATAACATTTTGCTATGAGGAAGACTAAATACTCATCAACTGTGTGAGGAAAAAATGTGTCAGAAAGTTGAATAAACATGGAATAAAATCTTATTTGAGGATTTATAATTCTATGACATTCATCCAGACTCATCTTGTTACAGCTACAAGACTGACATTACTAATCAGTAATATAAAAAAAATCATAATGAATTGCTAACAATATCATCACACCTAATTTTGCACTGACGGATCCAGGATTTTTCCAAAGGTAGGGGATGGGGGGGGGAACAAGAGGACACAGGGAACTATAGGTCTTAATAAAAAAGGTTTAGGGGAGATTTGGAGTTTCCTCTGCAGTATTTTTTTTTTCCCCTAAAAGCCTTTTCAGAGGCATTTTCTACTAAGGAATGAGTTACACATACATACAGTACCATTTCTGAAAGTTTTCATGAAATTATATAAATCTATCATGTGAGCCAACATTTTATTACCAATGGTACTACACCCCTATTACACTGTTACCTTTACCACATATATCTGCATGCAGTGTATTAACTGAGGTGCAATTCATCAGTATGCCCCCCCCCCCGCCCTATCCGCCATTGCAATTGGTTACCTTATATACTCATTTGAATATCTTTCAATTGAAAGATGATCATATCAATCTAATACAATCTTTTGTTGAAACATTGGTGAGATATAACCATAATCACAACATGCCAGCTACTGAAATATTTCCAGAACCACCTAATATTTTGTGGATAACGGAAAAAATAGAACAAGAAAAAATACTCACTTCAAACACTAGTAGTACACACGTCACACAAAGAAACCTTCAGTGCATGCAAATAAGTCCTAAAAGGTTTATCGTCTATTAAAATTATACAACTCCACTTCAGGAAAGGTAAACACTTTTTTCTTCTCATACTAACATTTGTTTCTAATGCTAACAAATGCTGCGATTGTGATGTCAAACAGACAGCAATTCATCTTCTGCAAGTACAGGTAAAGACTCCATACTCATTCACATGCTTTTAGTATTATATTTATGCTCTCTGCTCTAGAGTTGAAACATAATTTGCAAAATTTAAATCGACCCCTTCGGTCATTCTCAAAATAATAAACCATTACTCCTTAAAACGGCGATAATCATAATGCACAATGACATGAATTATCTTACTTGAAGAAAAAATAATACTGCAATATGAAAACACTGTTTAAGAAAATAGAAACTACACATTAGCTCTGTCAAAAAGCCATAATGCATGTTGTGAAAGCCATGCAGGGTAAATGATTAGTTAGTAGCAACAAGAGACTCGCATATTCAGATTCCAAAAAATAACGACCGGGTTTTCAAAATCTAACCATCGCCTTCTTTAGTTTCGTCTAAATCACTGATAATTTTTTTCTTTTCTTTTACCATGCAGACGCTCTTTATACCAAATTGGAAAATCGATTTTACCAGACGGATCAACGCTGCGCCTCCAAACCACCACACAATACAAGGAGACTCCTAACCTAAGGATCCCGGGGAGCTCCTGGCCTGCCTTACTTGGTGGTGTGTGGTGAGGTGCGCGGCAATGAACTGGCCTAGCCCGTCCGGAAAGGTCAGGGACATGAGGACCACAGTTAACAGCAGGGGGTACAGCAGCCGGCTGAGGGGGAAGAAGAGCATGCCGGGGCAAAAAAAAAGCCCATTTTAGGGGGTGTAAGCAGGTGCTGGAGAATGCTTGAATGAGAGAGCAAGTACTCCTTTTTCTTTTTGTCTTTTTTAAAAGGGGGCTGGGCGGAGGGCCAAGAGTTTGTAACGCGAGATCAAATTTCAACCGTTGAGGTACAAAATGGCGGCGGGTCTTCGGAAGAACTTTCATGAAAAAGCGGGACGAGGGCTGTTTTATGTGGGAGGGGAGAAAGAAAAAACGCGCTCAATACGAAAAAAAGCAAATGACAAAGAAAAGAAAACTCCACGAAAGAAAATACTAAAAAATAAAATCCAATGAACTCCGGCGACCATAAGCCTACCTGATGATGGGTCGACAGATGGGAGGCTATGAACTGACCCAACAGACCCGGATACTGGATAGTGAGGAACAACAGAGTCATCGAGACGGGATACAGGAAACGGCTGACAGACAGAGAGAATAGACGGCTAGTGTGGTGCCCTTCGGTGAGACAGGGTGCAGGCCGGGTTTAATGGAACTGTGGGAGCCAAACGAGGGGAAAAAAACACGTGAGTCATGCAGCACGGGGTCACACGGGAGCGGGGAGATGAGAGGGGTGGGGGGGGGGGGGGGGGGTTCGTACAACGTTTTATGAAGCACTCGGATAAATTAAACGTTCCAGTACACGTGTGTGGAGTGAGTGCTTGCTATGCCTGCCACGGAGTTTTCAGACCATCATTCCACTTTAGTCCGCGTCGTTGTGGGATTTTTAACTCACCTTTTCGTCTTGTGTTTCTTAATATGTCTTGGAAGATCCGACTTGCCTTGTCTAGGAGGACTACGGTTTACGAATATCTTATAACGTTTCCTGATGAAAAATTGCTGTTCAAACTCAGGAGGAAATATTGTCATATGATCCTGAATATACATTTCTTATTAACAATGTGTGCTTCCTAATCATTTTATAGAACTTTGCAGTTTGGAACAATAAACGACGACCTGAAAAACTGCGACCTCCTGTATCATATTCACTGCTAAACAATGAGAGAGAGAGAGGGAGAGGGAGGGGGAGAGGGAGAGGGAGGTGAGGGAGAGGAGGAGAGGAGAGAGAGAGAGAGAGAGAGAGAGAGAGAGAGAGAGAGAGAGAAGATGAGAGAGAGAAGACGGAGGAGAGAGAGAGGGAGAGGGAGAGAGAGAGAAGGGAGAGAAGAGAGAGAGAGAGGGAGAGAGAGAGAGAGAGAGAAGAGAGAGAGAGACGAGAAAGCAAGAGAGAATACAAAATAGAGAAAAGAGATTGACGAGTACCTGGAGCAGAGAGAGACCCATTACAAAACAGAAACAAGCAAAAAAAATACGCCCTCAAAGAAGCATCCCACAAACCAGAAACCTTAAAAAATTACAGACGTATTCAATCAATACCAATGTCCTCTCCCTCCCTCCCCCCACCCCCCCCAAAAAAAAACAAAAAAAAAAAATGTTCGTACTACACGGGATCTTACCTGTCGCATACTAACAAGATCCCCGAAGTACCTGTAAGTAATTTTTTCCCACCTTACCTGTTCCCAGACGAGAGACGTACCATTCTCGCCCAAGGATAAAGATATCCCGAGAGACAAAAAAAGACTTCCTTATTACCTCTCCGTTGTCTCACGGTCTCGATAGAGAGAGAGAGAGAGAGAGAAGAAGGAGAGAGAGAAGAGAAGAGAGAGAGAGAGAGAGAGAGAGAGGAGAGAGAGAGGAGAGAGACGAAGAGACGAGAGAGAGAAGAGAGGAAGAGAGCGAGAGGTGAGAGAGAGAGAGAGAAAGAAAGAGAAGAGAGAGAGAAAGAAAGAGACAGAGAAATAGAGAGAGAGAAGAAAACCTTACCTGTTAATTGTTAACTCAAAAAGAGAAAGAGAAAGATACACAGATAGACAAATAGACACAGAGAGAGAGAGAGAGAGAGAGAGAGAGAGAGAGAGAAAGAGAGAGAGAGAGAGGAGAGAGAAGAGAGAGAGAGAGAAGAGAGAGAGAGAGAGAAGAGAGAGAGAGAGAGAGAGAGAGAGAGACAGAGACGGAGAGACGGAGACCCAAACAGACAAGGAACCTCACCTGTTGATGGGTATTTAACTCGGTGCCGGCGAACTGTCCCAAACCCAAAGGGAACGAGAAGGATCCATAGATTATGATGACGAACAAAGGGTACAGCAGGCGGCTGGAGAGGGAGACAACACGGGGGTGACTTTTGGGGGGTTGAGGAGATGGGGGGGGTGAGAAGAGGCGAAGAAGGGGGGGAGAAGAGAGGGAGAAGGGGGGAGAAGAGGGAGGGAGAAGGGGGGGGGGAGAAGAGGCGAAGGGAGATGGGGGGGGAGAAGGGGGGGAGAGAGGCGAAGGGAGAAGGGGGGAGAAGAGGCGAAGGGAGAAGGGGGGGAGAAGAGGTGAAGAGAAGAGAAGGGGGTGAGATATGAGAGTATAAAAAGGGGGAGAGAGATGAGAGAAGAGAAGAGAAGAGGGGAGAAGGGGGAGATAAATGAGAGAAGAGAAGAGGCGAGAGAAATGAGAGAAGAAAATTGGTGGGAGAGAAATGAAAGAAGAAAAGTGGTGAGAGAGAGATGAGAGACGGGGGAGAAGTGGTGAGAGAGAAATGAGAGGAGAGAAGAGGTGAGGGGAGAAGGGGGAGATAAATGAGAGAAGAGAAGAGGCGAGAGAAATGAGAAAGAGAAGGGTGAGAAGAGAAGAAAGAGAAAGAGAAAGAAAGAAGAGAAATGATAGGAGAAAAAAGGGACAAAATGAGACAAAATTAGAGAACAGGTGATGAAGGAAACCATGAGAGAAGATAAAGAAGAGAAAAAAGGATAAAACAGACGAAAGACGCGAAGAGAAAAGAAGAGAGGAGACAGGAAAAAATAGAAGAAAAGGAAGGGAAGTGAGTAAAAGCGGGGAACGAAAGATAGATAAAAAAATGCAGGATGAGCGAACAAGAGAAGAGAGAAAGAGAGACAAGAAGAAACGGAATGCGAGAAGAGAGAATGAGAGATACAAGAAGAAGCGAAATGAAAGATGAGAGAGAGAAAAACAACTAAAAACGGAATGAGAGAAGAGAGAAAGAGAGACAACAAGAAACGGAATGAGAGAAGAGAGAAAGAGAAACAACAAGAAACGATGAGAGAGAGAGAGAAACAACAAAAAACGGAATAGGAGAAGAGAGAAAAAGAAACAACAAAAAAAGGAATGAGAGAAGAGAGAAAGAGAGACAAAACAAAAAACGAAATTGAGAGAATAGAGAAAGAGAAACAAGAGGGTATTAGTGAAGCGAGCGAAGGGGGGGGGGAGCTAATTCTTAACTTCGTGCAAAACCGAGACGAACCAATTACAGACTCGAGGGGGGGGGGGGCGGTCTGGGGGAGGGGAGGGGGGGGGGATGGCCGTGCATCCCAAACGAGTGCGGGGCTGAGTTCTTGAACACTTATTTATATAATATATTCCTCTTATTGCCTAATGTATCATAAAAAAGAAAAAAAAAATGCAGACTCAATTTTTATTATTATTATTATTATTATTATTTTTTTTTTTTTTTTTTATATACCGACTGTAGTGGCAAAGTGTCACGAACTCAACCAATCGCATTTGGGTTAATTAAAACGCACCAAGGGGAGTGGGGGGGGGGGGGGGTCTATGCATCACAGATGGCACCATACTCACTATTATTGACACAACTTGGAAGGGACGTAAAATAAATCAATTAAGAACCCGAATTGTATTTTTTTGAGGGTTTCACAAACTAAATCAAGACTATAAGGGGGAAAAATAAAATTTAAACCGTAAGTATCCGTAACATGAAAAAAAAAAAAAAAAAATTAACGGAAATAAATCTTGTATAGATCGCGATCTTTATTAATCAAGATTATTTGACACTTTCAAAAAATATATATGGATTTAAACGTAACTCTACAACTATACAAAATACATATTTCTCTCTTAGGCAAAAAGAATCGTCGTTTTCTCCTTAAAGACATTATACTATAGTCTACGTTTAGATTTTTTTTAAATTCTAAATACTAAATTAAATTCTAGATATCAAATTCTAGACATTAAATTTTATATATCAATTTTAAATATTATATTATATATACTAAGCTTTAGACAATAAATTCTAGATATTAAATTCTAGATAATAAATTCTAGATATTAAACTTTAGATATTAAATTCTAAATATTAGATTCTAAAATTTTAGATTACATATTCCTCGTTCTCTGGCAGGGGTTTTTAATATGCTCAGAATAAAGTACAAAGTGTGACATTGAAAGGAGAATAGAGAAAAAGATAGTGAAGGAAAAAATATTAAACATGAAAAATATGATGAAATTAGTA